AATACACTAACGTTATTTTGCTATTTTACATTTATCAAATTCAAATTTAGGCCTAGTTCAAATTCAAATTTAGGCCTAAAATTTGGGTCAAATTCAGATTTAGGCATTCAAATGTTTACTTACTAAATTTATCAAAATTCCTTTATTATTCAATAAAAACTAAATTTTAAATAATACTTCGAATTCCTTCTTTTAAATTATCATTAATCCGAAATTGCGCAGTCATTTGAAATAGCAAATATTTAAATATCCTTTCGAAGCGTCTATTTAAACGGAAAATTTCATCCATTTTTTTTCATTAGTGAAAAAACTTTAAAAAAAAAAATAGAGTGATGAAAAAAAATGGGAATTTTGAGTTACTGAAATTAATGAGGAAGATGTAGATAGTAGGATGAATTGAGAGAGGATTGAAGATGAGGAAGATTAAGCTGCTGAAATTTCATTTATTTCTTCATCAAGTTTTTTCATTTCAATTAAAAAAAGTTGCTCTTGATTGAGTTTGAAATTGTCATCTATTATGTTTACTTTTAATTTACTATTTATTATCAATTTTATTTGCAAAAATTTTATGAATCATCTTATCAAGTATTAGACAATTGTATTTGTAGAATGGATGAAACAGTGAATTGGAAATATAAATTGAGAATGAATAGATGAAAATAGTAATTGGAAATCTAAATTGAGAATGATTGGATGAAATAGTAAAATGGGAATATATAAGTTGGGAATGAATAGATGAAATAGTAAATTAGGAATGATTAGATTAAATTGGGAATATAAATTAGGAATGAATAGATGAAATATTAAAAACAGGAAATATACATTGAGAATAAATGTATGAAACAGTAAATTGGAAATCTAAATTAGAAATGAATAGATGAAGCAGTAAATTGGAAATGAATGGATGAAACAGTAAATTGGAAGACTAAATTAGGAATGAATAGATGAAATGGTAAATTGGAAATCTAAATTGCCAATGAATGGATGAAATATGTGAATTAGAAATATTAATTTCAATTTTCCTCCAAATTATTGTTAAGAAAATTTTTCTTAATTTACCATTTTGCTGAATGCCAATTATTTCTTTAGGCTATTTTCTAATTTGAAAAACTAATCTAATTTGTTTATGCTCTTGTTTAAAATTTTCCTTTTGAAGTTATTCGTTTGAAATTCATTTGCCGATTTATTTGTTTATCCTGATTTTTAGCCCAAAACGTTTAATCCATTTTTCGGGTTTTTATTTCGTTTTTTTTTTCATCACTTTGTTTTAATTAATTCTTTATTTATTTTAATATATCATAAAAATTATAAAAGAATATTGAGGATTAATTAATTTTAATATATTATAAAAATTATAAAAGAATATTAAAATTTAAAAAAGAGGACGAAAAATTATTGACAATTCTCAAATGTAACTTTTTAGGATGAATGAAGAAGAGAGAGAGAGAGAGAGAGAGAGAGAGAAGGAAAATTTTGTTCATAAATCCATTTTTAATCAAAGTATAATATTTCACAATTTCACATTTCTTTCCGATGCAATCACACACTAATTGCTAAAGGATATATATATTGAAAAAATTGAAAATTTATAATGCAAGCAATGAGGCAAGCTGTAACTAAGAGAAGATCAAATTTCCAATAATTCAAAATTAAATTCCTACCAAAAATAAATATCTCTTATATCCTAGAATAAATTGTAAGAATAGCTGTTAGCATAAAAATTGCTAAAATTTTGATGACTTAAAATTATCAATATTACTAAGATATAGCAATAAATTATTACTACACTAATTTGTACAGTACTTTACTAAAAATGATAGGCTTAGGCTAATTTTTGCAGTTATACTATCCATTACTAATTTTTTGCAGTTGAACTATTTATTACTAATTATATTATCTATTACTAATTTTTAATGGATCACTTTATTAATTTTTGAAATCAGTGAAATCTTTTGCGAAGCTAATTTATGCATAATTTATCCTCTCCATTCGCTATTCTATGTTTTCTTAAAAAAAAAAAACAAATCTATTTCTCTTCTTATTTCTCTTTCTATGTTTCCGTTGAGAAAGAAATATTAAATATGAAACTTACCTGCTAAATTTTATGATTCCAATAGCTTCACAAAAATTTATATATAAAAGTTAATTACTACGAATAGTCAAATAGCTGTAACACTTCAACATAAAGTGTTTTAGTATTATCACCTGTATGATTGTTTGTAAACCGGTATATGGTCTTTTGCGAATTCGATGGTAAAACTTGTAATATATAATGCGCGAAGTTCTAACCAGTTCGCACTAAATTATGCGAAAGTACCATCATAACATTGTAATTTTAATACTATTCATGAAATTTGGTATAAATTTTATTGCGACAAAATTCTTCAAATTTAATAGTATCGTTGTTAAAAATCTAAAGAATTTAAAAAGATACATATATATATTTATTTAATAGTATCGTTGTTAAAAATTTGATGAATTAACGAAGATATATATATATTTAAGAGATGAGAAATATTTTGGAAATTCTTTTTCAATTAAATATTCCATCATATTTCATTAAATATGCATCAAAAATGTCATCATTAATTAGCATATTTGACAAAGATCAGATATTATAATTCGTTTTTCATGCCTCTTTTTCAACAAATAACATCGATATTTTGTGAATTTCTCATGTACAAAAGTTAATTGATGATGACACGGTTTGAAATAATTTCAACTAACATATCCGTTTTTTTTCTACTTCTTTCAACGATATTTTGTAAAAATTATTTGCAGCAATTTTTAAATTTTTCTCTTGGAAATGATCAGCATGTTTTTTTTGCTCTTTGTTATTTCAAGATTGAAGTTGGACGACTTTTTAAAACTATTTGCATAAATTCGAGATCATTCTTTACTATAATGAATTACTGGATATCAAAATTAATTATTAATTAAAATAGCACTTAATCATTTTTCAAGTGAAGTGAAATAGAGTAATAGTTGTTCAATTAAAATCATTATTAAATAAGTAGTGGGTTAGATTTGCAAAAAAATCTCAATTTTCGAACTATATAATAATAAACTTTGTCAGGTAACCTTTTTTACACTTTTCAATTTTTTTCTTTTAATTTCTTTAATAGTTATTTTTTGCCTAACATAAATTAATTCTCCTTATAGTTAGCAAGCAAATATTACAAAATATTAGTATATTGTATGTACTGTATACTGTATGCAGTATACTGTATGCTACAGTAGTAGTTACATATACAGTAGGCTAAACGGTATAATTAGATGGAAATTAGCTGAAAATATTGAAGGCAAGCAAGAAAAGGTAAAAAAAGAGCGGCAATAATATTTTTGTAAAATTAAACTGAAGCAATGGCAGAAGATCAAAGGAAACAAAAATTAGTAATATGGCAACATTTTCAAACGATCAACCAATCATTTAAAACTATTTTCCTTTATAAGCTTTATTTACAAAGTAAAATTTAATTTAAATCATCTATTAATCAAATAATGAATATATTTTTAATTAATTGAGGATCAATCTATATTTTCTTTTCTTACTGCTCGAACTGCCTTCATTTTAAATATTTGAAAAGCTGGAACTTTAAGATATTCAAATTTGTTCATTTCAATTATCTTACACATTTTTAAGCTATAAAAAATTCATGCTATAAACATTCTTTTATTCGAATTATTTGAAGAAAATTTTCTTGTGCAATTAATTTAGCTTTAATTGCTTAAAATGCTATCAATTAATCGAAATTTTCATTTCGCTATTTAGTTTACTTAATTTGAGCAACAACAAATTTCTCAGTGCCAAAGTTGTTGAAATGTTGAAAAGATTTGTAGAAATTAATAAATTCAAGATTAGCATAATCGCATACTTTTTTATAGTTACAGGTAAGATTTAGACTTATTTAAAATCTAATCAAAATTTAATGGGATTGAAGAAAAAATTTTTTCCTAATGATAGGATAACGAAAAACGTATTTCATTTCTTGAGGCAATTCAATTATAAAAGAATTAAAAGTTATCTGACAGCTATTGAAATTGCAAAAGAAATAGAAACACAAAAATTAGAAATCATTAAAGATTAATTAAAAATCATTTAAGATAATTAAATAAATCAATTAATTGCTTGAATCACTAAAGTTCAAATGATATTGTTTGAGAATACCTGTCGTTTTTTCTGCAAATTTTTCTTAAACTAAACCGTAATTTGCTAAAAAAAGGCCAAAAACAAAGAAATATTTTCCGGATCAGTAACAAACAATATTTTCCGGGTCAGTAACAAAGAAATATTTTCCGGGTCAGGAAAAGTCTTTCAGGAAGCTATTTTTTTACTTTCAGAAGATGAAGAAAATTATTCAAAGCAATGAAATTTTTTTCATTTGCTTAAGTTTTATTGTTCACATTATCGAACAAAATCATTAAAAGAATATTCTTTTTTTGTTTATTTCTCACTAATTAACTTATGAAAAGATTATTTGATTTGTTTACTTTAAATGAATGAAAAATTCGAAAATAATTAATTGCAAGGAAAGTTTATGGCTAAGAAAAAATGTTTGTCAACAAAATATCAATTGATATAAAATGGCTTTTAGGCCAAATTTATATTCTGTTTACTTTTTCGTATACAAAATATAAATTTATTTGTTTCACACTTGTATGATTGAAATTTCAATTTTTTCCTTAATTAAATTGAAAATTTTCTTGTATAGTAAGAAATTTGATTAATTGAAATAAATTATGATTATATCATGATTGTGAAATCATGATTATTTGAAATAATGCATCATTTTGTTACATTTTGATCAGTCATATTACAAAAAATGAAGAAATCTATTCGAATAAAGTAATTGATTTAGGAAGTTCAAAAAATTAGGTATCATTTCATTTCACAATTCGTCATATTTTGCATTTATTATAATTATTTCGATGAACTATTTCACTTCCGGAATTTTTCAAATTAGAAATATTGAGTAACTTTTCAGATAATTCATCATTTGATGAGTGCAACATTGCCAATATCAAATACTACCATGGCAAGCCGTGATCATTTTCATTCATCCATTCCTGAACGACGAATTCGCAATCGAAGCTTGTGTAGCTTACTTTGTACTCCACCACTCTATCCCGGTTATTCAGCAAAACATGACAAAACATTTAAATCCAACATTTATCAGCAATCATTGAAACCGATAATATCCGAAATAGCAACATCCTCAAATCCGGTATCACATAATTCTGCGACGAATGCCGATTTTCACGCATCTTCAACTGGAAATATCATCGTAACACCATGTCCATTTAAGGTAAATGATATCATGTCATGAGCTTTGTAAAAAAATTAATGCTCTATGATATTCCAACAATTATCACAGTTATCACGAGAATTGAATTACTAAAATTAGAAATTGCTGCAACTATTTCATAATTTTAATCTGAAAAAAAATTTATTTAAAATTTGTAATAAACACTAATCAATATTTTAATCAATATTCTAATCAATATTTAATAATAATAACCATCAATATTTTAAACATATATTTCTTTGCATTTTGCTAATAGTATATTTTGGAATAATTAATTTTAATTAGATGCTTAATAAAAAACAAATGGGAAGAAAAACAGAGAGAAAGAAATTGAGTGGTAATTTTTCGTGTGAAATCATATTACAATTGCAGCCATCAGAAAATAAGGATGTAAGTTGGAATAGTCCGAAAAAGTGTACAAATTCGAAGGAATCATCCGGTTATGGCTCCGGAGCATCCGAATCAGATCTGGAAAATGAGCAACAAACAAAGAAGGTTATCATTTTATCAAACATATCATCACAAATTACTTTACAACAAATTACACTTTTTTTTTTTGGCATTTTGCTAATATTATATTTTTAGAGTAAATTAATTTTAATTAAATATTTTATGAAAAAACAAAAGGTAAAATGAAAAGAGAGAAAGAAATTGAATGGGAAATTTTAGCGAAGAGCAAATTTTCATCAAAATATGAAATAATTAATGGATAAGCAAAATTTTTTGATCATTCCAAAATTTGAATTTAATTAAGAATAAGACTGAATTTCTTTTTGCAAATTCGGAATGATTAAAAATTAGTCAAATTTTTTGTTGTAAAAAATATTATATCATATCTGTCATTTTAGTATCTTAAACATTTAACTTTTTCAGTTTGCAATTATTACTCCTATATTATTTAAAATTATTCAAACTTACAAATATAATTAGACCATATCAAATTCATTTTTAAAAAAGGGAAATATTATAAGTGTTGTAATCGGATAAACAAACTAACTTATCATGTATAATAATACTATGTATCATAAGTATTTAACTTTTTAAGTTTACAAATTATTACTCCTATACGATTTCATATTATTTAAACTTACAAGTATAATTAAATTTCATCAAATTCATTTTTTAAAAAAGGTAAATATTATAAGAGATATAATTGGATAAACAAACTAACTTATCATTAATAATAATACTATGTATCTTAAACATTTTAAGTTTACAATTATTACTCCTATACGACTTGAAATTATTCAAACTTATAAATGTAGTTAAATTTCATCAAATTCAAATTTTAAAAAAGGGAAAAATTATAAGAGATGTAATCGGATAAACAAGCTAATTATAGATAATAATACTATGCATTAAAATATTAATAATAAAAATAATAACTGGAATTGGTTGAATAAATTTGGAATAAATTTTTCAAATCAAATCTGTTTACTAAAATTTCGATCAAATATTTAAATTAACAATTCAAATTCAAATCTCTTTTACTCAATTCTTTCTCTCAATGCAAAATATTTACTAAGCATAAACATTCATTAGATATGCATGAATAAATATGTAATTTAAATTCTATGCTTTTTTACTTGTCCTCCAATTCATTCATATATTACTTGCTATTTAGTCAAATTTTTTCAACGAAAAATTTTTTAGGAAAATTTGAAATTCATTTATCTTATATTTTAAGTTTTTAATTTCAGATTTTAGAAGCTATTAATTCTTCTTCAAATACTTTTAATGCTAATATTAATTGTGATCGTTCTTCTACTAATACTACGACGATGAATGATAATTGCGATAAAGTTGAAATAGTTGGACGAGCAACAACACATATACCAATAAGGCAACAAATTAATCGTCAACATAAGGTTACTTCTTCTTTCATTACTAATAGTAATAATAGTAAGTGATATTGCATTGATACATTTTATCAAACTTTATCAACGATATCGATTATTATTTATCAGTATTATCAATAACTTTTGATGAATGATAGCATTCACAAAACAAATTGTTTCATTTTTTTTTGTTAATGCTTATTAGATGAGCGGTATAATTTTTTGATCACCTCAATAATTAATAGTTTAATGCTTTTAAATAGTAAATATAAGTTATGCAATCTTTTAACAAAAACTTAGATATAACATTTTATAAAACTTAGATAGATGTATCATTTTTACAAAACTTAGATGTATTTTATTTTCTATAATTTCATAGTATCATATCACTATTTGATCACCTCATGATATCAATAAATAAATTTTCCTGCATTCATTATTTATGTTTATTTCTCTTTCCTAATTCTAATTAGTTTGAAATGTAATTGTAATTGTAACTGACAAATAATATGACTGAATCAAATAATCGATAATTGCAAAAATGATTGGAATGATTGATAATTATTAATCAAAAATTAAAAATATAAAAAATAGCAATTATGATTGAATTTGTTTTTTTAAGTTTGAAAAGAATAGACGTCGAAGTGTTCCTGCCAATCTTCGTAATGCTTTTACTGGTAAATTTTATGAAATATCTTTATTATTCGATATTTAGCAAAAACCGGTTTAGAATTTCCATCATCATTTAATTCCGCAACTTCAACATTATCCTATTAATTTCAAATAATTTGAAAACAAAATTTTAACACCCTTTAAACAAATATTTCGTTGTCAACATATACATATATTATCATTAACATATAACTATATATAATTATTTATATCAGTTTTACCTTATTACAAAAAACTGAAATGAATAATTATGGTAGTAATTTTTTTAAACAATTTGAAATTCTTTTGAAAATTAATAAAAATTTTTCAACAAAAATTGAAAAATATACAATACTAATTTTATATCATTATTATATAGCCATAGAAAATTTCAGTGTAAATTTTCGTCTTTACTACTAAAATAATTCCACTTAATTACAGTGGTAAATTTTAATTTGAAATTTAATTAATGCTTTAAATATATTTCCAGATGAAATTATTCAAGTGCTCGAAATCAACGGTGTAGAATGATAAATTTTGAAAAACTTAATTTGAAATTTAATTAATGCTTAAATATATTTCCAGATGAAATTGTTCACGTACTCGAAATCAACGGCGTATTTCAATATGAAACAGATGCGGTAAGCTTTTTTTAGATACATATTATCATTGCTGTTAATAAATATTACAATTAATATTATTTATTAATAGTAATATTATCATTATTGCTATTAATAGTAATGCTACTATTATTGTTATTATTTAGTATTCGATATCTATTATTAGGTGCTAGTTAAGTTTTATGAACAATAATAAAATTATTACTCAACAGATTACGGTTCATTCAATAATTTTAAAAGTGATTGTTTGACGAATGTTTAATTCTGAAAATCGGATTATTCATTAAATTGGAAAGAGTTGAACTAAGCAGAACTTGGATAATTAGCAAAGATAAGTGAGTGATAAATTAGCAAAGATAACCAATTGATAAATTAGCAAACGATAAGTAAATAGCTGAAAATTATAAGTGAATGTTTGCAGAAATACAAAATAGCGAAGTGCACGTTAACAAAATGTAAATTAAAATTCTATCCTAAAAAATTTAATCAATTCAATTATCCATTCCATAAATTCCTTTTTTTTGTTTCAATTTCAGAATTATTCATTATTTTCAAAAATTATTACATTTGCGTTTCCCAATATTTTGTTAAATTTTAAGTCATTGTAATTTTAATTGCATAATCGTTGCATGCAAATGATAACTTTTAAATAATTAATGGTAGGATTAATTTTCTTTTTTAGTTAAATGAAATTACTTTTAAATGAACATTTTTCAATAATTATATTTCGAATAATCACTAATTCATCATTTTAAATTTTATATAATATTCACATTAAATTGATAAATAAAATCGCAAATTATATTAATAATTTTTATAATAGCAATTATATTGATAATAAATTTTATATTAATAATAATTATATTATTAATAATTATATTATATTAATAATTTTTTCACCTACTAAATTTAAGTAATTTGTTAATGATAATTACAATAATACATTTAATAATATTTTCAGTTATAAAATTGGATTAATAATTGCAGTGATACATTTAATAATATTTTCAATTATAAAATTGAATTAATAATAATTACAGTAATACATCTAATAATATTTTCAATTATAAAATTAGTTTAATGATAACTACAATAATACATTCAATAATATTTTCAATTGTAAAATTGATAAAATAATTTTAACGTAATTCAAACCATTAATTCAGTCGAAAAGATAAATAAATGGGACATATAAACGATAGAATGATATAATCATCAAAATTATCTTAGAAAATTTTTTTAAATTTTAGTAATAAAAATTTTATTTCATATTTTTTAAAAGTTTCTTTCGTTTTTCTTTCCGATCTAATTTAGGTCAAATTATTAGGAGGGAAATGATGAAATTGCAGCGACAAGCAACATTGTCATAAATATCAGTGGGAAATTTTCCGCATCCATTAACAAAATATCAATTAATGCCGATCGTTAATATTTTTTTTTTTTGCTCCTTCTTTTTAATTACTTTTTTACTGTTACCTGTGAAACATTTTAGTAAATTGTTTACCTCGATGTTTTAGCAAACTTCTTTGGTCCACTTTATTTTCAACTCATTTTATTGTTCATCCTCAAAAACTTTAGTAATTTAAAATTTTAACAATTTCCTCTTGAGTATTCAGTAATAAAATTTTATTCAGAATTATCGTATTTGCTAATTAAGTTTCTTTTTGAGTTTTATATTTTAAATATGATTTGATAGGTTTTTATCACAACTGATGTTTGCAATCATTGTTATCCAAATAATTTTGGACTACTTTTAATTTAGTAATCAGTAATAAATGATTTTTTGATAATTAAATCGAATAAATAGGTATAATGAGAGTTTAATCATTTATCATATTTATTAACGATGTGTGATAAATAATTCGATTTAATAATATATTATCACCTAAACAATAATTATATTATTAACATTCACTACCATTCATATATTTTAATAATGTACACATTTAAAATATGCTAATTTTCTATTTTCATTTTTTGCATAAAATCATTTTGTTGAAACAAACATTGATAATTTGTTATCAGTTCTTAGGATAAATTATAACTGCTATCAGTGTTATAAATTAATGATCAAGTAATCTTAAAGAAAGAGAACTTACATTTCAATAATTACCTTAACTAGTTTAATTATCAACCTGATCTATCACTTTAATTTTAAGAAATCCAATTCCTCTCTTTTAATTAAACAAAATTACACATTCATAGATTTCATTTTTTTATAGCCATCACCCATTAATGTATAAATAATGATAAGATATAGTGATAAAAAAGACAGAAAACCCGACTGTCAAAAACTTGTTTTTAAAATTTGATGATAATTTCACAGACATCTAATAACACACGACATTCCCATACATAATAAATTCATACATTTATAATATTTAATTACTAATTGCTCCTTCATAATATTTTATTGGTCCCACATAATTCATTTATAAATCTAAAACTGTAGATGAAATTTCTATTTTCCTCTTTTTATTCCTCTAAACTTAAATAATTTATTATTCAAATTTTACTCAAACTATTTAACATCACAATGAAATATTAGTAGTAATTTTGATAATTAGTTATTTTTGTTTAAAACAGATTAATTTAGAAACACCAATTCAAATTAACAATTTTAATTTAAATCGGATACAATTATTATCCAGTGTTTTATATGTTCCTAATGCAAATAATAACAATAGCTACTGATATTTGCAGAATAAATTCTTAATTTTTCTTAAAATTATTACTAGGTAAAAATTAAAAAATTAAAATTATCACTTGGTAAAAATAAAAATTTAAAGTTATCACTAAGTATGTAATAAAAAAATTGAAATTATCACTAAGTAAAAATAAAAAAAATTAAAATTTTCACTTAGTATGTAATAAAAAAAATTAAAATTATCACTTAATAAAAATTAAAAAATTAAAATTATCACTAACTAAAAATATGCTTATCATTTCGTTTATCATTTTATAATAACAATTATAATAATTAATGAATGTTATCGATTTTCATCAAATCTAATTTAAACAATTTCATTACATCAATAATTCTTAGGAAAAGTTTCGAAGAGTGTAGAATTATATCGAAATAAATTTCCGGAAATTTTATTTGAAAAGGAAACATTATCTCCGGCTGATCAGTCAAGGGTAAATAATTTCGATGTATTATTGATGAAACCAGTTTCAATAAAATTATCCAGATGCTTCGATCAATTGATCATTAATCAATTCACTCATTGTAATGATGCAAATTACAACTTATCGGTAACAATGATCAAAATACAAAAGAGTTGAATAACGAATTTACTAACATACTCTCAAAAAGATTCATATAATTTCTGCAAAAATTTAATTTTCAAAATGATATTATATTAATAATGATGATGATGACGATTGATAATGATGATTGATGATAATTGTTGATGATGACGATGATATTATTACAGATGAAAAATATTGTCAAAACAAATTTTCATTATTCTTTTTCTTCACATAGGTGTTAAATATTATATATGATAATATTATATATTATGATAATATTATATACTTTCTAATTGAATTTCATAAAATTTTTTTAATTGATTAATAAATTTGTAACGAATAACACAAAGATTTAAATAAATGAATTAGTTAATTAACTTTATGACTATAATTTGATAAAGTTTTTGAATTATATTCTAATTGATTGATTAATTTTACGAATAAATTATATTTCATAAAATTTTTAAATTATAAAAAAAATAAAAATTAAATTAAATTAGAAATATTAAATTAAGTATTAAAGTATTAAACTAAAACAAAAGCTAAAATTGAAAAACGATTTTTTGAATTTTTCCACAACTTACCATGCATTGTTAATTTTTCATTCAAATTATAATTTAGTAACTATACGTATATATTAATTAATTTAATCAATTTTTCATTTCATAAAATTCATAAACAATATTTATTAACTATGCAAATAAGAAAACTTCTAAATTAATTGAAAAAAATTGATAAATTAAATATAAAAATTTCATAAAAATTCACATATAATATTTACTAACTATGTGAATAATCATTAATAACTATATGAATAATAAATAATTTTTTTGTTATCCGAATTTCCCATCCACAATAATATGTATCATTTGAAAAGTTAAATTTTCCAAAAATTATCTTTTGAGAGCACATCGATAAATTCATCATTCAATTTCATCAAAAATGTCACACAACTGTCCACTACCAAAAATATCCATTGCTATGGCAGTTTTTCCAATGCAATGTTTTAAATTTTAAATCAATCATAATTGACAGCTTCCAAAAAAAGAAAAGTAGAAATATTTGATTGAATAATTATAAATTTGAACTGTGATGAAGTAATTTTATATTGAAATTTTTTGCAATTTTGAAAAAACTTTATTTTTAATTATAGCAATTTTTTTGTTTTAAATTTCAAATTAATTAAATTATATTTGATAATTTTGAAACGAAATATATTTGATGAATTGTTTTAATTTTAGCTATTTTTTTAAAACAAGAGTTAAAATTGAAATAGTCATTTCGTACTGCAAGTAATTTGCTAATATTTACCTTTGCTACTTTAGAACAAAATAAACGAAAGATATGGCATGACCTTTGGTACTGTTCGAATTAATTAACTAATTGATGATATCTCTCATTTAAAGTAAATTTTTTTTAAATTTAATTGCTTACAGTAATCTGTAAGTTTGAAAAATTATTCGTTATTTATTAGATTAGCAAGATTATTCAATATTTTATTACCATTTGCTATTAAATTCAAAAAAAAAAGGGCTAAATGAACAAAACCCATTTCATTAATTACTTAAATAATTTTAGCAATTAATGAAATTAATGAAAAATAACTATAATCAGGAATAATTAATCAGAAATAACTCCTAAATACAAATTGATTTTTCTTTTTGTTTTTTTCTTCAAATTTAATAAATTTAAACATTTTCTTTTTCCATATATATATATATATATATAAATCTAAAAGGAATTCAATTGCGAATTATGCAAATCAATGTATTATCTTGAAATGATTGTGATAAAAGTGTTTAAGGAATGATTTTGATATCTGAAAAAATTTGATTTCCAATTTTGGATCGTCTTCACTTTTTAAATTTCGTCTGATTTCCTCGAATTTTGAAATATTGCATGAAGGGAAAGGAAAATGAGATAATCTACTTTCTGTTCAAGGATTAAAATTTTAATTTCGAAATTTAGAACTTCAATTAACTGGAACTGAATAATTTCATCGAACATTATCGTCAATCAATAGGAATAATTCGTATTTTTGCAATTCAGTATTCAATAAAACAAATGATCAGTAGTGTTTTAAATATTTCAAATTTAGGTTTTCTTTCTTCTTAGCTATGAAAAAAGTGATAATTCCTAATCCATTCATCAATTATGAAATTAAATTATTACTCATCAAATAATCATTGCAAATATAGATGAATTATAATCAACTGAAATTTACAATGAATTTTACAGTGTGAAAATATTATTATATTAATATATTACAGTATTGCTAATCCATCCATCAATTATGAAATTAAATTATTTCGCATCGAATAATTATTGCAAATATATTATAGATGAATTATAATCAATTCAAATTTATAATGAATTTTACAGTGAGAAAATATTATTATATTAATATATTATAGTAAATAATTTTGAAATTATTTAATTCTGGTAATAAAAATACAAATAATTTTAAATTGTTTTGAAATTATTTTTATCATTTTTTGGATTTCATACAATTCTAGAAATCGAATATATTATGAAAGTAATAGTTATTCGTAATCGAAAAAGAAGTCACCATTTTAACCATCAATTCAATTTAATCACTCGATTTATCGATATTCAATTATTGCATTAAGCATTATTATGAACCGGTTCCTCGATCTGTTATTACTATTAAATTGATTTTCGATTATTTGTATGAGATCAAATGTGACTTATCGATGGCAATCGACAAACGAGATGAAAATTCATTCACATAATTCACTTTCATAATTCACTCTTTTAAACTTCTTCTAAATTTAAATTTAATTAATGATTTCAAAATTTGTCACTTTGTTTTTTTAAATATCTTATTTAGAATATCGTAGAAAAAAATGCTATCACTAAAAATAATTTCTGATTAGTAATTTCAAAATATAAAATGTAAAGGTTAGGAAATTATGAAGATACGAGCAATAATCGTTCAATATTATTGACATAGTGATTTCTTAATAAAATGAAATAATCAAAAAAATTTTAATTTAAAATTACCTTAATTAAAATTTTAATTAACAATTAACTTGTAATAAATTATTTTAATAACTGTAAAAGAAATTAAATAATGAGAGAATACCTAATAAACAATATTTCGGAAGCTTAATATATTTGAAAGCTTTCAAATAAATTTTCATATTTTCAAAATACTAAAACAAAAGGATAGCAATAAACTAAGTGATGGTTAAATTAAAACTTAATCGAAATTTCGACAATTTTCTTTTCATAGTTTATTATCATTTGCTTCTTTACAGCCAATATTTCCATTTCAAATACTTTCTTTTTATTAAAACTTTTTTGTGATGAAATGAATTTTGAAAAATAAAAATAGGTCGGCATATTTGTATTACAGTTTCGAATGAAATTAGGTAAATAAATAAATTTAATATTTTTTCGTTTTTGAAAAAAAAAATGAAGACGAAAAGGTGGCAATTATTTTCGAAGTGAACAGTTTGAAGAGAAGAAAGAAAAATTATGTCAGTTACCGAAATGGAAAAAAAACTGAAATTACAATTTTGTTGAATTTAAAAATTTTTGATGAAGTTAATTTGAGTGATAATTTTTTCTTTATGATTGTTTGAATGATAATTTTAGGTTAGAGAGAAATTAAATTGTCGTATTTTGTTTGATAGGTAAATGATATTCTATGAACTTAATTTTTATTTAATTTGAAATTGCTATTTCTAATGCATTTTAAATATTTTACTTAATGATAACCAAAATTAAATGTTTAATTTCAAATGCTTCCATCATATCGTATCATATCATATCAAATCATATCATATCTATCATATCATATCAAATCATATCACATTTATCATATCATATCAAATCATATCATATTTATCATGTCAAATCATATCATTTCATATCATGTTTATCATATTTTAAATTAGATTGCTTCATTTATCAATATAAGAATGAAATATATTTTTAACGATAAATCATATTAAATTTTTAAAATTCTAATTAATTGGATTGGTTGTTCGGTTTTTTACGGGATACCGGTATAAGCCGACCAAATAATACGTGAACAAGGTATTAATCGACCAGACTTCTATTTAATTCAATTCGTTCTTCTTAAATTTTACAGGATACCGGTATACGCCGACCAATAATATGTGAGCAAAGTATTAATCGACCGGAATCGGTTATTCAACTTGCACGAAAATTTGCTGAAGCAAGCGCTGTACAAGTAAATCAATTTCAATTTTCTTTTAATTTTACATTGTAAACAAATTGTTGGAAAAAAACAATAAGCAAAAAAATTAATTTGCTAATAATTAACAAAAAAAAAGTTTTTTGTTTTCAATTTTAATCATTTAAAATTTTCAAAGTTAAAATAGTTGAAAAATTAAAATTTAAATTTTCTTTTTTTCCATTTGTAAAATATATTTAGTATGAACTATGTAATAAAATAAATACAAGTCCTCTTTTTTTCATTTCATTTAATTTCTTTTTCTAAATTTAATTTTTGAAGTTAATTTAATAATGTTGAAGGTAATAGAGGGAAAGAGAGAGAGAGAGAGAGAAAGAGAGAGGGAGAGAGGGAATTTGTATTTTAGATCGACAATTTTGTTATAACTTTTTTATTCATTCGAAAACCTGTTATTACATATTAGTGTGACCTGTTATTACATAGTTGTGTGTGTGTGTGTGTGTCTGTGTGTGTGTATGAGAAAATTGAATTCTTTTTTAAATTTTGTTTTCTTTTAAAAATAAATAAAAACTGTTTAAAGTACTTAACAGTATTAATAATATCATTTTACTCCTTCCATATAAAGAGAGAGAAACAAAGAGAAGGATAGAGAGAGAGAGAATTCTCTTTCCATTTATATATAAAGAGAGATAAAGAAACAAAGAAAGGGGTAGAGAGAGAGAGAGAGAGAGAGAGAGAGAAAGGTATTCTATCAATCTTTCGTAAATTACAAATATTTTCAACAAACAAAAAAAATGAAAAAGTTAAAAACCATTCGACTGATTTTCTCATATCGAATTTTCCACGTTTTTATTACATCAAAATTTTCATATCTCAAAATTTCATTTCGAAATTTTTCGATAAATTTTAATTATTTTAAAAATTCATTCAATTCTTTTTCTCATTTATAAAATTTAATTTTAGAATGAAAAATTTTTTTTGTTAAAAAATTAAAAATAAATAAATTTCTATTAAAATTTAATTAAAAAAAAATTAGTTAATAATATAAGAATATGAATTATTGATTTTTTTAGGATATAATTTTTCTTCTTTTTTAAAAGAAATTAGTTAATAATATAAAGATATAAATTATTGATTTTTTATTAGGATATAATTTTCTTCTTTTTAAAAAAGAAATTAGTTAATAATATTAAAATAGAAATTATTGATTTTTTTAGGATATAAGTTTTCTTCTTTGTCTTTTCTTTCCTTACACTTCTACGAATAATTTGAAATGAATTAATAATTAAATGATATTATAAAACAAAAAAAAAAAAAAAATTATTAACCGATAAACGTTCTTCGGTTAATTGTGGGCAATTAATTCGATTTGCCCGAAATTTAAAGAAATGCCCTTCACCTCAAATTTTTTTGTTTTGAAAAAATTGAATGCTATTTTGATGTTATATAATCCGGGGTACATTAGTAATTTTATATCGTTTATATTCAGTTATTATCAGGAATCATACTTTCTGATAACAACTGATAATTACAGAACTAAATGATAACTTTTATTAATTATCATTTCAGAAAATTATCATTAAATTAATAACTGCTAATAGCAAATTGAATGATAACTTTTATCAATTATCATTCCAGAATATCTTTTAATTAATAACTGTTAATAACAAACTAGATGAAAACTTTTATCAATTATCATTCCGGAAAATTATCCTTAATCATTAATGTTAGTAAAATCTAACAAGGTAACAAATGTTTTATCCTCAATTTTTCTTTTATTATTTCAGGATAAACGAATTTATATATCAAATCAGAAATTATTAGCAAACGGAGAAAATTTAGCAACAACAATCGCTACCACATATTCATCTGATGTAGCAAATAATCAAACACAAAAAGGTAGTTGAAATTCGTCGTAATAATTTAACAAGGTTAAAGGGTTAAAGGTTGAGGAATAAAAAGAATTAATGATTAAAGTCAAAAAAGATAGTATAATTTAAATTATACAAGGTTAGAGGTTAAGGAATAAAAAGGTTAAAATGTTTTCTGTGTCATTTTTATCTGATAAATTTAATTATGCCAAAAAATTTAACTCATATAAAAGAAAAATTTGTAATAACAATAATTAATCAGAAATAACAATAATTAATCAATATGCAATAACAATAATTAATCAATATGCAATAGCAATAATTAATCAATTTGCAATAACAATAATTAATCAATTTGTTTTAACTATAATTAATCAATGACAAGAATTAATCAAAAATTTTAATTTCTTCATTTTTTTAGAAAATGAATTAAATTTTTGGTCGCAATATTTTTTAGTTTTTATTTAAGGCTGTCAACTAATTTTGAGGAATCACTTTCATCTTGCTTTTTTTTGTCATCGTCGTAGTAAACTTTTAAATTAATTATTACTGCAACAATTATAATTCATTAAAAATTTAAGAGTTTTTAATTCATTCAAAAAAATTGTAATATTAAAAATTAAAAAGCTATTAATTAAATTAAAGTGTAATAATTAATTAAAAATTTAAGAGTTTTTAATTCATTCAAAAAAATTGTAATATTAAAAATTAAAAAGCTATTAATTAAATTAAAGTTGTAATAATTAATTAAAAGTTTTTAATATTTTTTTTTTTGTTGGTTTTGTAAAATACCAAAATGAATTTTTAAATTTAAACACGTTCTTTTCGTGAATTAATTTTGCTTCAATAGAAAAATCGATAAATCGTATGAAGCAATTAATTATTATTTGCACACCTTTATAAATGATTCGATTGTTTTTGTTGAAAATGCAACTTTGGAAATTTGAAAATATTGGTAGCAATAAAGAATAAGGAAATTTTCGACAAATATTTTTAAATTATATATTTTAAATTACATAATATATGAAAAATTCCGAAACTCAAAATTATGTAATAATTCAATTAAGAATTTGAAAAAATTTAGGAAATTGTAAAGTTGGAAAAATTCAGGAAATTCAAATTATATATTATAAATAATAATTCAATTAGGAATTTGGAAAAATTCAGTAAATTCAAATGATATCATTAATTCAATTAGGATTAAAATTTCCATTAAGTTACTATTTCACAAGTAATAGCATATATAATTGCACGTTGTCAAATTTATTAATATCAGAAGATGTTTAATTTCAAATTGAAATAATTAAATGATCAGTTAATCATTGTTAACATTCTGTTATTATAGTCAAATTTATTATTATCAGAAGGTGTTTAATTTCAAATTGAAATAATTACATGATCAGTTAATCATTGTTAACATTCTGTTATTATAGTTAAATTTATTAATATTAGAGGTTGTTTAATTTCAATTTCAAATTGAAATAATTTAATGATCAATTAATTGTTGTTAACATTATATTATTATTAATGTAATTAATTCGATTGTAACTATAAGCAAAAAAAAAGCAAAGATATTAATTAATCTCTATAAGATTTTTTCCTCAATATTATTTCGATCATTAAATTTATTTGTTAAAATTCCCACAATCATTGTAATCTGAATTTATGTATAATAAAAAAATTAGATAGCAAAATTTTTTAGTATTATAAAATATCTTCTAAATTGTATCAATTTCGTTTTCAGACATTCATTCTTCACATAATCATTCCATTTTGTTCGATACATTTAACAAGAAACCAGGTGGAATTGCATGTCTATGTAAGTTTCATTATTATTCATCCATGAAAATGTAATAATTTAATCTTATAAAATTTACTTCCAGCATAAATTTTGAATTGATTAACTTGGATCATATATTATTGGTATAATTGATCTATGTAAGTTTCATATGAATATGTAATAATTTAATCTTTACTTCCATCATAAATTTTGAATTGATTAACTTGGATCGCATATTATTGGTATAATTGATTTAATGTAGGAATTTGAAAAATGTTTTAAAAAAAAAATTCAGGAAATTGTGAAGTTGAAGAAATTCATGAAGTATCATTTGAAATAATTATATATTATGAAGTATCATTTGAAATAAATATATAGTAATAATTTAATTCGATAAATTTTGCTTACATCATAAATTTTGAATGAATAAACTGAAATCGTATATTATTTAGTATAATTAATTCAATGTAGGAATTTGAAAAAATTGAAAAAAATTCAGGAAGCTGTAAACTTGGGAAAATTCATGAAGTATCAATTTAAATAAATAAATAAATATATATATATATATAGCAATAATTTAATCAATAAATATGTATATATATAGCAATAATTTAATCTTATTCTACTTTCACCATAAATTTTAATGAAATATATATCGTAATAATTTATTCTTATAAATCATACTTTCACCGTAAATTTTAAATGATAAACTGGAATCATATATTATTAATATAATTGATTTAATGTAGGAATCTGAAAAACTTTAAAAAAATTCAAGGAACTGTAAACTTGGAAAAATTCATGAACTGCCATTTCAAATAAATAAATAAATAAATAAACAAATAAATAAATAAATATATATATAATGAAGTATCATTTTAAATAAATAAATATATATTATTTAATTTAGTATTGACTGCAAAATGATTTATATATTTTGAAAAATTTCAGGAGACTGGAAACTTGAAAAAAATTCATGAAGTATCATTTTATATAAATATATATATATTTTGAAGTGTCATTTGAAATAAATGTATATATATTATGAAGTATCATTTTAAATAAATAAATATATATTAGTTTAATTTAATATATATTGAGTTCAAAATGATATATATATATAAAAAACGAAATTAATTGATACGTATATTAGTTGGAATATTGCAATTAAATAAGAAGTAATATCGAAAAATAATTATTCATCGCTGATTAAACAATTAAATTATCATTGATTGACGATCAATTGTTTAGTTAAATTTATAATCAATTTGAAATAGAGGATGAAATTTTCTTTCCATTACTCTGCATTGAAATATTATTGAATCATTCAAAGAAATTAATTACATCATCATAATTACACAATATAGCAAAAAAAGTTCAAAAGTAAACAAGGATGGCAAACTGCCTTTATTGATTACTTCAGTAAACAAATAAATATATCATAAATGATGATGATAAACTGTAACTCTGAAAAAATTGAAATAAGCTTAAATATTTTTACGATCAATTTTGTTAGGAAAACTTTTTGAAATAATCCTAATATTAGTGATTGTGGAAAAAAAAATCGCAAAATACATTAACTACGATGATTCAAATTCCATATACCTTATCATTGATCAATTTCTTTTCTAAATGACACCTTTTATGGAATTTTTTAAGATTGTGTGATTGATTAATTATTGGCTAATTATGTGAACTAATTAATATAGGATTAATAACGAATTGTGTAGTATTTGATTAATTAATGATTGGTAATGTCAACTAATTAATATAGGAATACCTTCTATGGAATTTTTTGACATTATGTGAGCTAAATTAATACAGGATAATGAAATGTGAAATACTTTGTGATTGTTTGTTGACTAGTAATGTCAACTAATTAATATAGGAACACGTACTATGGAATTTTTTGAGATTATGTGATTGACTAATTATGTGAATTAATTACTATAGGATTAATAATTGAATTGTGTAATATTTTGTGATTTGATTAATTATGTAAATAATATAGAAACACCTACTACGGAAATTTTTGAAATTATGTAATTGATTAATTATGTGAACTAATTAATATAAGATTAATAATGGAATTGTGTAATATTTTGTAGAGATATTTTAAAAATTAAAATAAATTTTTTTAGCAATAAAAATTAATGATTCTCGAATGTTCTTAATGTAAATTTTAAAAATAAACTAGTTTTAAAATTTTTATTTATCAAACTATCTCTATTGTAGCTTACAACTCGTTATACATCCTTCTCTTCTAATTTTCTTTACCCCTTTTTCTTTTCTTTTTGTTTTTACTATAATATAATTAGCAATTAAATGAGAATATCGTTCATTCTCAGGGACTACAATTACGATAAATTATTGCTTTGCTTTATTTCAGATTAAAATAATAAGTGTGAAATTTTCAAATTATTATTTAATTAAAAGAAAAATGAGTTGATAGTTTTTGGATTATGTAACTATAAAATAATTAAAAATTAAATTAGAATAACTTTCTTTCTCACAGACTACAATTAAGATAAATTATTGTTTTATATTTTAGGTTAAAATTATAAGTGTGAAAATTTCAAATTATTATTTAATTAAAAGAAAAATGAGTTGATAGTTTTTGGGTTATGTAATACAATTAGTTCATTTTTGAAGCTTCCGATTATGTCCTTTTTCCTATGTTGTAGCGATCGATGCGTGTGTATGTGTGTGTGTGTGTGTGTGTGTGACATGTACCGGTCAAGTTTCATTGATAACGATCATCGATATCACAAAATTTAACTGTGCCGATTTTCTTTCATCTCTTTTTTCTTTTAATCAAATTTCCTTCATTTCCTTCTTTTTCTTTTTTTCAATCATATGATTATTTTTTTTGCGAAAGCATTTTTCAAATATAAAATTTTAAAATTAAAAAACAAAACTTGAATTAATTAATTTGAAATTAATTTCTTGCACGTTCGGCCGATTTGTTATATTATATTGGTACTAAATGAATAATCGTTTTCCTCTTTTTTTTTTCTTCATACTTGTTGGAAGAAATTAATTACTTATATTTCATTTATTTAATTAATTTTTTAATTAAAAATTAAATTTTTTCGATTTTAAAAATTATTGCATATTATCGATTATTACAGGTATAAATTTAATTTTTTTCATACCTTTTTTCGGTATTAATTTTTTTTTCATTTATTAATTACATTTCGCTAATTATTAATTTCATTTCATTTTTTGATAATACTGATAATTTGAAATTAAAACATTATCATATAATCTTTACTGTTTATTGCTTTTAAGCAGAATTAATGGATATTAATTAATACTATAATTAATTTATAAAAATACTGCTCTTTGAAATTAACATATAAATTAACATAATATGAAAGTTGATCAATTTCATTTGATTATGTGAATAATCAATTTATTTTGCTCTTTAATATGTATCAAAAAAAAATATTATCAGCATAGGTAATTTTTATTTTAGATTCTTCGAGGATAATACAAAATATACGTCAAATATTAGATTCCTTCTATTGTTAATTAATTAATTAATTAATTAATTAAAATTTTTGGTACTCTATTATTTTTTTTTGAAAAATAAATAGCTAAATGAGAAAAATTTTTCATTTGAATGTTAAATTTCTTTTAAATTCTAAATTTCCATATACTCTTCGAACAATGTAATACGTGTTATTTCGAAGTTCTTAATTAATATCAGCATAGTAAGCAATAAATATTTCATTAATTAAGAATGCTAACAATTTCAAAAAGATTATTTGCAATTATTGATGATAAGATATTTTGGTTGTTAATGTTGCTGTTGTTATTGTTGTTGTTGTTATTGATGTTGTTGTCATTATTGTTGTTTTTATCGATAAAACTTAAAGCTCGAGCTTTTTGATCTTACATTCTATCCACTTTTTCCTTCTCTCTTATATCTTTATTTATAATACTTCTCTTCCAATCTATGCTTATCATTGATCTTAACTGATAAAATTATTTGAACAACTGCTCATTGTACCATCCGCTTTAGTTCCTCGAACAGCATCTGTGGTTTAATTTCTTTTCTTGAAGCAATCACTAATCATTGTGCTCTCTTATCATTTTATATTTATTCATACATTTTTCATATATTTTAAAATTTAACCTAAATTTGAAACTTAGTTTCAAGGAATAGAAAATTTGAAATTATAGGAATAAAAGAATTAACAAATTATAATAAAAATAATAATCAAAAAAAAATTATTGCGCTATCATTTTCTAATTTAAAATTTAGTATTAAAGTTCCAATTCAAAATTCTACGGAAATTTTTTCATTCTTTTTTAATAGTTAATTATTATTTGTTTATAAAATAATAATAATTATAATCATATAAGCCATATAGTATAACTAAAAATTCTAAAAATAATTTTATGAAATCAAAAAAGCTAGCATCGCTGCTAGCATCCTACTTATTTACTTACTTATATGTGTAAAATAATTATGTGGCAGCAATTTTGCTATTGTTAATATTCTTATTTAAATTTCTCTTCAGCAAGTACAATTTGTTTTGCAGGAATTTATAATGCAAATGAAAATTTTACTACGATTTAAGATAGAGTAGCAGTAAAAGTAGTAGTAGTAGTAGTAGTCGAAGTAGTAGTAGAATTATTCTAAATACATTTTATTCTTTGGTTATTAATTTAAAAGCTTCTTCTTTAGCGCTATTATTATTATTAATATTATTATTTATTATTATTATTACTATCATAATAATAATAATTATTATTATTGCTATCATAATATTATTATTTATTATTACTATCATAATAATTATTTTATTGCTATTACCAGTTTTTCTCGATCATTTCCAACGATTATTGTCATCATTTAGTATTTTTTACATTTTGTTAAATATGCAATTTCAATCATAAAATTACAATTAGTTCTTCTTGCTTGCATATATCAATGGATCAATTGTTTTAAATTAAGAGACAAAAGTTTTAACATTAAAAATTATTCAAATTAAATTTTTTTTTAAATTTTTAAATTTTTTGATTATTTATCAACGAATATTTTGATTGTGTAAATTTTGAGGAA